AAGGGGCTGCAGCGGGCGCCCGGCCCCGCCGCCCCTCTCTAGGTAAGCGAGTATTTTCCTGCCAGGTGCGTTTGCGAGTGGTTCTGGGCCGCCGTACGGCTCAGCGAGCGGTCTGAACGGGGAAGGCCTGGGAGCGGAGGGGTTACTGCGAGAGACACCCAGCGAGGGGCAGCCTAGAGCTGCAAGGGGAATTTAGAGCAAGGGGGATACGAGAAGGTTCCTGACAATTTTATCCTGTGAGCGTGTATTACCGTGCGAAGGTAATTTGAATTCATTTCAGAAATAGGGACCTTAAAGTTTCTGATATGGCATTAAGGTGTGAACACCTGAAAAATTAAGTCAGACTTACCTGGGAGTCCATGCCTACTCTTAAAGTTTTAAATTCAGAGCAGTGCGTACCGGGGGTGAGCAGCCCTGCATAACAGGAGACTGGGGGAGCCCAGCTGCTGACAAGCCAAATAACCTTCGAGGAAGCAGGCAGGCAGGTTTGCTCCTTGCAAATCTCTGCATAAAAACAAAGTGCTGAGGGACTGGCCGCTGGGAGTTCTGAAACCCAGACGCTGTTGGTGGCCAGAGTTTTATTTAATAAATCACACGTGCTTCAGCACAAAATGCTTAGATAAATCTTGTTTTCTTCCCCTGTAGATCGGACTTATTTGAGGTAGTTTTAACTAACATTTTTATTTGTTTTAGGCATTATTAATTGAATTCCAGATTTCTCCCAAATGTGTTTGACAAGACAACAGGAAAAACTCGATCATCTTGTGGTAAGTGAAAGATCCACACTACTTACAGAAGTCTCCTTCAAACAAATGTAGCATAGTTTTCCTCTAAAAGTGGGAAGTCACATTCCTTGAGGTCTTATGTGAGTTGGAACAAGGCCTGAGATTCTTTAAAAAAGGTAAGTGCCACCACTTTGCTCATCTGTCAGGGTTTAGGTCTTTCCCAGTTACTCCCATGCCTGTATAGACTTTGTAACTAAGGCAGTCTGGATTTACCAGCAGAAGCATACAGAAGCTGTTCTAGTGACAGATTTTGCGTACAGGTTTTCTAAAACGCTAGACCTCTATAATAAGTAAAAAAGGAGCTATTTTTTAGTTTTCTTAAGTGTACAATAGATGAGTGAGATGTACCGATGATCAAAACCAGATAAAATGCCAAAACTAAACTTTGGATAGACAACTGCAAAATAGCTAGTCAATCCAATAAAAAGTTGGTCGTGGTAATAATGTTGGTTGTGATTTCAGATAGAGTGATAACAGTCGGAGAAAACGTTACAGAAAGCTGGAGGAATAAATAAGCATGATGAATATGACATTGTGACTGTATTATATCAATTGGTAATGGAATGACTGCATCACGGTTGTTAAACATTCTTAGTTGTTATTAATGGTGGTGAGAAAAGGTCCAGAAAGATGTTCTGGAGCTATTAGGTATACAGTATATACATGTTATAACATGTTAGATTTGTGTTCCAGAGCTTACACATTTTTAACATTTTTTTTGGCAAAGCATAGAAAAGTGTACAAATAAAATAAATATTCCAGTACGGTGAAGTCAAACTCTTGAACTTCACTGTTCTTGAACTTAAGTCCCTTTGTGTTTTTTCTAGAAAGATGACTTTTCTTGCCTCAGAATATGTAAAATGTGGTTTTCTTTGTTAATTTTAATTAGTATGACCATGTAAGCTGTTATCATTTGTCTTTATTTCCTTTGGAAGGTCTAACTTGCTGGACTTTTCCTTTCTCCTTACATTCCCTGACAGCTCATGGGAAGTGCTCTGTCTAGGGGTATACATGCAGTATATAGCAGCGCAGAGACGTCAAATATGGACATTAAATGACGCTGTTCTTTCAAGCGAGCAGTATCCATCTGTGGCGTGAATGAAGCAGGGGTCTTGTGGAAATGTAAGTTAGGGACTTCTCAAATTATATTGCGAGGGTGTAGGG